GTCAAGGTTACTGTTAAAAATCTTCACTTTTAATGGCTCCTGATGTTCAAAGGTCAAGTTCACTTAAATGCTAAGATTATGCCATCTCCCAACTTAAACAGCAATCCGGGGGATTAGTATCGTTCACTGATACATTGTTTCGTTTCAGTTATTTTTCCTGTGCTTGTTAAAATAAATAAGCAATTTAATTAAAACATGATATTACAATGTTTATTATATTTGGCTTTTTCTTTACCTAGAAAATGGACAATACATAAAGGTTCCCCAACGAGTGATGGTTTGTTTTCATGTTTATATAACTCGAACGTTAATTTCCAAATCGTATAACGACAGGAGACTTATCTTACTGAGTTAAACATGATAACCAACTACCACAACTTACGGACCTTCTTCTCCCACAACGTTCATATCATATCTGGAAAACGATCTGTTTCTGTTGCAAATAACATTATTCCTGTTATTGATTGAGACAACACTCAGGACAGAAAATAACATCACAAAGCATTGTTACACAACGTCATAGATAAAGCACAGACCCAAGAAATCGCATCCAGGGTGTAACAACTAGTGGGTAACCAAAAAAGTTACCAATTCCAAGCAATTTTACCCAATGAGTCGGGAGTAAGAAAATTTGTTGTGCTTGTAGGCTGCTACAGAGCTCATAAGTGGTATGTACCTCGGTAGGCTGCTACAGAGCTCATAAGTGGTATGTACCTCGGTAGGCTGCTACAGAGCTCATAAATGATTTGTACCTCGGTAGGCCACTACAGAGCTGATACGGGGTATGTACATGTACCTCGGTAGGCCACTACAGAGCTCATACGTGGTATGTGCATGTACCTCTGTAGGTTGCTACAGAGCTTATAAATGGTTTGTACCTCGGTAGGCTGCTACAGAGCTCATAAATGGTTTGTACCTCGGTAAGCCACTACAGAGCTCATATGTGGTATGTACATGTACCTCGGTAGGCTTATACAGAGCTCATAAGTGGTATGTACGTCGGTAGGCTGCTACAGAGCTCATAAATGGTTTGTACCTCGGTAGGCTTCTACAGAGCTCATAAATAGTTTGTACCTCAGTAGGCTTCTACAGGGCTCATAAGTGGTATGTACATGTACCTCGGTGGGCTGCTACAGAGCACATAAATGGTTTGTACCTCGGTGGGCTGCTACAGAGCTCATAAATGGTTTGTACCTCGGTAGGCTTCTACAGAGCTCATAAATGGTTTGTACCTCGGTAGGCTTCTACAGAGCTCATAAGTGGTATGTAAATGTACCTCGGTAGGCTGCTATAGAGCTCATAAGTGGTATGTAAATGTACCTCGGTAGGCTGCTACAGAGCTCATAAGTGGTATGTACATGTACCTCGGTAGGCAGCTATAGAGCTCATAAATGGTTGTACCTCCGTAGGCTACTACAGAGCTCATACATGGTATGTACATGTACCTCGGTAGGCTTCTACAAAGCTCATAAGTGCTTTGTAGCTCGGTAGGCTGCTCCAGAGCTCATAAGTGGTATGTAAATGTACTTCGGTAGGCTGCTACAGAGCTCATAAGTGGTATGTACCTCGGTAAGCTACTACAGAACTACCCGTGTGTGCATTGATCCCTTATATGGTAATACCCCGCAACTACTTTGTTCTGTTTTCCGTACCTCTGTATTAATGCATAGTGTTCATTAGTTTTATCCAAGCTTCGATCCTTCTTTTTGCAAGGTGAAGTATTTTTCATACACGGAACAATTTCATCTTTAGTTTCAGGTGCCAAGATTATGACCTTTACATTGGGAAAGAACATACCTCGGCATGTCAGTGTGTGTGTGTGTGTGTGTGTGTGTGTGAAAATAATGCACCTTTTTAATTTTATATTGGTGGATAAAATCCTTACTGGTTTACAGAATATTGCAATAAAATACTTTGAAACGAGGTATCTTGAATCTTCTAAACAAAAAATTAGTGAAATGATGAATAGTTTTCAGAAAATGTTTCGATGTGTAAAAGTAAATAATCTAATCAATGTTTAGTTAATTCTATCGCTGGGACTAATAATTATCGATCGTTTACAAGGAAACGCAAAAGATGGCTGCACTTGTAATTTCCTGCTGAACAGAAGTAAACATTGTCTGTTTGTATAATATGTTGAATTAAAATGGAAAAAAAACTACGCTCTGACATCAATTTTTTGGTATTTGTTTTATTTCGCATTAATCAATATAAAAAATCGAATTATCTTTTTAATTTACATTTTGATAATAACTGCAAAGTGTTGTGTATATGAAATGGGTGAAGAGATGGGAGATAATTGCTTGGTCTTATCGCTCCATCGCTCACTGGATTAGCTACGATTCAGCATTTAGTATCACTTATATTCGAACTCTTTTGTATGAAAAGTTGCGAAAAAGGAAATAAAGGAAATAGAGAGAGGGCCCAGCACTCTGGACAAATTTGTTTATCATCATTTGTTACCATACCAAATTTCTCGATCATATAAGACAAACAATCTAAGCATATTTCACTTTTACCATTTGCAGACATAAAGTCTCGGCTATCTCGGGCACACTAAAACTGATTTCTGTATTACCTTTCAGCTGAATTCAGCTGAAAGTGCTTCAAAGGCCTGTCTCAGTCGAAAGCAGTTTGAGTAACATACCTTGCACAAAGACCCCACTACAGCAGTCCGATCCAGAGAAACACAAACCAAACCGTGTAGGGCTCTCCTATCACTACTCGGATAACATTCTCGACCAAATAGATATCCACATTTCTCAACAGGGTAACTCTAATCATAATAGATATTTGACGGTAAAGACACTCACTAGCTGGTCCACATTGTAGCATCTCCAAAGCTGTGAAAACAGATAAATAAATGAATAGAACAAATAAATAAAAAGAAAAATTGTATAAACTTATTTCGTACATTACCACATACACTTTTATTCAACAAAATATCAGTAATACCAATTAGCTGGAAATAATTTAGCACGTCAAGGACTATGAGACAGTTAAACTACTGATGTTTTAAACTACAAGCCAATTACAAGTTTTTTTCGTACTATCACTAATATCACTAAAACAAACCATGTTTCATACACTTTAATAATTGATCAGTCGGTATTATAGTCTAAGTTGACGCCTTCAGTATTCGCACGTTTTATGAATTAGTTATAATCGTTACTAAAACTCATCTATGTAATTAAACAACGGTTACTGGCTTGTCACATACCATTGAATGAAAAATAAACAAATTCATTTAACATTTTACTGCATTGTGATGATAAAACCTTTCATAAAAAGTGAAAAGGTAATTAGTAGTTCCAATCGCCCGCAAATTAAATTCTAATTCATTTAGTCCGTGTCGATTACATAGCAGTTTTTGATCAAGAGTAAATATCAGGAAAATCTAATTTGCATATGTAAATAAATCATTTAAATATATCGTCAAATTCGAACTGTCTTCAACTGTATTACCTAGATTTGCTATAAAAAGGCAGTGTTTCTCAAACGGAAATGAAGTGTGTTTAAATTACGTTAACCTCGTACCTAAAGGCATTTGTTATGTATTATTTCTGTCTTACTGTTAATTGATTTAAATGAATCGACAGTAGTAAAGTTCTTTATAAAAATGTCTATTTCATTCCACTCCTTGGTTGTTGGTGAAAAAAAAAAAAAAGAATTTCGCACTCGTAAGAGATACACTGAAATTTCAATGACTGGAAATAATGTGAGAATTAAAAGGTTTATATTAACATTACATTTCACAATTCAAACATTGAACCATTAAATTGAAAAAATACCATCATGGCATATTTTGAAGTTGGTTCTTTTTCTACATGAATGAATAATATAGCTAGTATCATGAAAAATTATATATATCACATCAAGTATAATTTCCTATCTTGGTTAAAGAAATCATGTTTTTTTTTTTTGAAAACAGTTCTGTTTATTTTCACAATTTGGATATAAAGTATCCAAGTATGACCAATAGAGAAACTTTATGCAAATTGTCAGCATCCTGAAACTATAACAAAGTAAATGGTGATTGATTTTTGAAAACTTTAACCCCGATATTCTGGCCAAAAAGAAGTTGAATCCCAAACATTCCTAAAACTAGTCAACAGTAAATAAACTGTTGTGGATCAGGGTTTTCATTACTGTAATAAGAAAATCTCTTAAACTTTGTGAAGTACTGTTTTATCAGTCTGTGGTTGTAAGAACATAGAGACAGAAAGGCAAAGGTTGCTCACCAGACCCGGCTCGCCATTTTTTTCTTTCTTCACCCTCGCCATAATATAGCTCATATTTTAAGACACTGACCATGTATTCTATTTAACCTGCAACAGACTATTGAAACTTTCAGAGTTTTGTTGTTCAATATTGGTTTACCTGATAATGACATCACGCTGAATTTTGTCTGATGACGGACGTCAAAGAATTGCTCCGCGCGAAAATATAGTTCCAATCTTCATAGGATGTAACAGCGATTTTATTATTTTTCATAATCGAACTTATTCACTATAACATGTTAAAATCGCTAATTTCAACAACTATTCATATTTCTTAACGTAATATTAAAGTAACTTCAGAGAGTATTTCTGTAGAATTACTGCACGTGCTAAAATACAGCAAAAATATATGTGGCAGACGTATTCGCCCGTGGATAGAGGCTGTGGCGGTGCCAGTTGACGGATAAAATATCTACAGGTCATCAAATGCGAATATTTTATAAGCCGAGCATAAATTTGGATGAATGGAGAAATTAACAATACGAAAATGTCAGTATTTCAATATTGATTAAAAATGGTTTTTAATAGAAATAAATATTACAGATTTTTGTAGGTTTGGTATAAAATGTAAATATTTTCTGTTTCTAGTTAGCTTCGAACGCTTCATGCAGCTAACTCTAAGGAATTTAACAAAATTACTCACTTAATTTACGTCTCTGACTCATTCGTTACGATAGTATTATTAAGGTTAAACTACCTATCGGAACCACTTTGCTTGTGGGCTATCGCGAGTATGGTTGAAAATAGAGGACGATATGCTGTGATCACCAGGTGATGTCCGCTAGCGATCATGCTTTGTAGATTTTTGGCAACAGTGATTCGATCATATTTAGACGCTTTGATGCACACCCTCGGTTTGTTGTGAGTATTAACCAATTTTGACAAAAACCGGTAAAATGTCAATAACAACAAACGCTGGCCATAGCAAGTTTTATCGAGTTTATCATGTAAACAAAAGCTAAAAATAGATAATGTATCAACATCGGAATGGTCAGATGATGCTGACTGTTTGAAAGGTCAGTGACATGACGTTTGATGATGATAACGATTATCAGTGTTGCCTCATTGTGTTTTAGATATGTTTTAACCAAGGCCCTGTGACCTAGCCAGTGGTTAGGTCCGAGGGTCAGCTTTCATTGACTAATGTTAAGCTGACATGTTCATTGAATGATATATCTGCACGTTTTGGCGTTTTTTGTTCAAATATTTACATTTCACAACATTTAACAAGTTCCGTGGTGTGTGTATGCATTAATTACTAAGTTCATTTTCTGAAAACGAAATTACTGGTTTATATTTAGTTGACTACATGTTCTTGTTCTGAAATTTAGGTCATGTCGCTCTAACCATTTTTGACATATTGTTGTGAACTTCTGGGTCATATACACAGGCCTGATTAGGTCACCTATTTATTTAGAAGCGACCCATATACTCACTGGGGGACACAAATGCCCTAGTATTTCCATAAGAAATCCTGGTAGTTGACAACATACTGCTACATTTCTATTTGGTTAAATAATAAATTAAGTTGTAAATATACTTAATAGGTACAGTCGCATAGTCTCCAACTACAATGTACATTAAAACCTCATCACCTGTAGGTAATTGATAAGTATCTTGAGATTTAAGACTGTACTCCTCTGAGAGGTAAAAAAATAATCCAGTATTAAGACTTAGTCTCAGGTGACCTGAAAATACTAAGTTCCTTCGATCCTCATATTGATATTATGATAATATCCACAGGAATAGACTAGTGGTCACAACTGCTTTCTTAGAAGTTCTACCCTTTAATCTAGCAGTCACCAGTAAGCCTGTATCAATTGATTTAAAAACATTATTCTAAATTACATGTGACTACAGAAACTTAAATCTTTGATCTGTGAGATGTTTTTTAATCAGTTGACTGGTACTTCCAGGATAGGATGGTTTGCTCCAAGTAACTGGATATCGTGGAAACCAACTTCAATGGCTCAGCTTGCTCAGGCAGAAAATAAACTTTTGCGATGTAAGTATATAGAGAGTTACGAGCCTTTGTTTCACTGTCCATTATCTTGTCCTTGGCATACATATTGGATTTCTTTAAGCTGAAGAGATGGCTGCAGGAAGAAGTGATTTTTCACTTCTTGAAATACTGGAAATCATTATTTGAAATAAGAATAGAGGTTAATATTTTACATAATTTATGATTCATATTTGCATTTATTGAAATAACTGTCTTTGAATGATGACTAGTACTGTGCAACATTTTGTATGCAAAAATGTTCCTTGGATTAGCAGAATACTAGAAAAAGGCCTTTTGTCAAAATAAAATGTGTAGAGTATAGAGTTACACATTCTCCACTTTTGATAAAGTTCCTAGAGAGATCATGATGGTGCAAAATCCATTGATACATTAACACACTGATCGTTTATTTACAATGACAAAGAAAGTGTCAGTCGACAATGAACTTTGATATGGATGCAAATCAGAGAAATCCAAAAAAATTGTCATTATTTTGCTACTTTATTTGGTTGACAAAGTAATTACTGCATTAAGAAAAATTAAAACCATGTCTTGTACTAAGGGATCGCAAATAGCCACAAAAATTGAACGTTAGCAATCTGTTGTGTGTATATAGCACTTCCCACTAATGGTGGTTTGTGTTTCTGAGGAAGTCGAGATATAGAACTGAACCGGTGTATGGTGCCATAGTTGATTCCTTAGGCAAGACACTTTACCCGAATTTCTCTGGCTGGATAAGCCTTTTTTGCCCAAAAAACTATATAAATAAATATATGTAAAAAATAAATAAAATGCTAATTACTGCATCTGCAGGAAACGAATAGACCATTCCCAATGGGTGGCTACTCTGCTGAACAACGTGTGGGAGGCCCATTAGGCATTACCATCCATCAGGGTTTTTATTCATTCCTTCCCAATGGATCAGTTTCTTCCCAAAGTTAGATTAAAAAAGCCCTTTCCAAAATGAATGAATAAAAACCCTGATGGATGGTAATTGTTCAGTAGAGTAGTCACCAGCTATTAATTTAAGACGTCCCCTTCTCAAAATGACCTTGCCTGTTCACATAGTGATAAATCCTACAAACAACTAAATTAAATTAAATTAGCAATTAAAACAGTTGATTTATTTTGCAAGAAAGGCAGCATGTTATAACCCAGCGAACAAGCAAACAATTTCTCATTGTGTGTACATGTTTTTATGTATTCATATCCTTTCAGGTGTAAAACATGTCATCAACAGAAGATTTGTCATATTACCTCGAACCCAGCACCGTATCTGGACTATTGCAGTGAATGAAGACTTTGAGAGGGCCGATAAGAGTCAAGTTACTCCCATTGTCCTTGTGCATGGTTTTGGAGGCGGCATAGGACTCTGGTCCCAAAATTTAAATTCTTTAGCAAAGAATGCACCGGTGTATGCATTTGATGTGCTGGGCTTTGGTCAAAGTGCTAGACCAACATTCAGCAAGAATGCTGCTTTGGCAGAGATGCAGTTTGTGGAATCTATAGAAGAATGGCGAAAAGAAATGAAACTTGACAGCTTCATAATGTTGGGACATAGTTTTGGTGGTTATCTAGCATCATCTTTCGCAATCAGATATCCAGAAAGTGTGAAACATTTGGTGCTTGTGGATCCTTGGGGTTTCCCAGAGCAACCTCCAGTACATCAGAGAAGAAAATTACCCTACTGGGCTAAACTTACTGCAGCACTTATGTCTCCATTCAACCCACTCGCTGCTATACGTGTAGCTGGCCCATTGGGTAAGTTTTATATACTGTCTTGTCGTGCAGCCAGCTGTCTAGGACTTGAAATCTTCTAATTATAATTGGTGACACATGGTATTTTTATGCCTGTAAATTTTCATAGTTTTCATGTAATTTGTCCTTTGGGTAACATAAACTGCAATGTTTACACTATTGGAACTTGTCATCGTTTGAAATGCCATAATTATTCGTGGGACTTGGTTATTCATGCCTGTAAATTTCCATAGTTTACAAACAAGACGTACATAGAGACATCTCTTTGTGCACCCTGTAAACTGTCACATGTATGTAATTGGTCCTTTGAGTAATATGACTAAGCTGCCAAAATTGTATTAGCATATAGCCAGTAGGCCCTCATGGTGCTAAGCTGCCAAACTTGTAGCTGGTCATTTGAGTTCATGTACTTATGTTGCCATACATGTTAATTCTTGAACAAAATTTGTTTACAGTATAATTTTTCTGCAATTAAAACCCAAGATTATCCAATTGGAACATTAAAAAGGGAACATTTCATTATGTTACATATTTATGATCAGTCACTTCAACGATAGGGCATTTGTGGAATTGTTGAATTTGGAGGGAAATTTGTCTGATGAAGATTTAAGATATTGGGAACTTTCGGCTTAAATATAAAACAATTTTGATTTGGAATGGGGGCCCATTATCGACCCCCAATAAACCCTTCTAAAGAAAGTCCTGAAAGATTATAAATAAAACAATTCAGGAGTATTTACTTTGTCAATGGAGGGAAACCTCTCCATATAATGTATCAGTAAGTTGTGGATAAAATCATACAGATAATTACATACATATACACATACTTTTTTCAGGTAAAAGTCTTGTTAAGAATTTTCGACCTGATTTGAAATTGAGGTTTTCTGACGATGATGATGAGGACACGATTTTTGATTACATATACCACTGTAATGCACAAACTCCAAGGTAAGTTAGGTGATTTTAATCTTGGTATATAATGGTTTGCAAAGTCTTGAATTTGTGATTGTAATCTTGGTATATAATGGTTTGCATAGTCTAGAATTTGTGACTACCCATTTGAAAAAAGACCCAGTAAAAAAGTGAACCAAATTTGTTATTCAAAGTTTAAAGTTGGGCAATGCTAGATAGAGTTCACTGTATTAAAATTCTGATGTGGACAAACAGCAGTGATTCTGTTCATGTGATTAATAGGCTAAGGAAATGCACAGAATGTATAATTGACTTTAAATGTGCTAATGCCAAATTCAAATAATTGAACAATAAAAAAAAGTCAAAAATCTTATCAAAAGCAATCAAAAAAGAAAAAACTGACACAAGTTGAACTCTTTGTAAGTTGTTGTAAACACAACTGTCTGAAGATGGCTGGTGAAAACTCATATACATAGAATGTATATTTAAAAGGGAAGTTACGATTTTGCTTGACTTCTTCAGAAATTTTGTGTGAGATGCGCATATTTGTTATATTTTTGTAATGTATAAGAAGAAGTGATAAATTTTGAAATATGACTTTATTGATTTAGAAACCATTGTATTCCCTATTTTTATGATGGCTATACATATACGATGTACTAGCACATGAGAGCTTGTAAAATGTCATACTATTGATTGTATTTAGTGGGGAGACAGCTTTCAGGAATATGACAAAGGGAATTGGCTGGGCCAAAAGACCTATGATACACAGAATAACGGACATCCCAGACTATATTCCCATCACTATGATCTATGGAGCTAAATCATGGATGGACAGTAATGCTGGTAACCATGTCAAGTATTTGCGGAACACAAGCTATGTAGACGTACAGGTAAATTTTGTGGAACCCAAGATCAAACATTGCACAATATTTCTTGTGTGAACTTGACTTTGTGAATAATTTGTTTTTTGTTGATATGGTTGAGACAGTGGTTTCTTTAAGATTTTGTTTGCAAATCTTGAAACTATCATCTGGGATTGTAATCTGCATGCCCAAGTTTTCTCAGGTCCTAACACTAGATGTAAGATGTTTGGAGAAAGCAACCAGAAATCTGTCAGTCAAAACATCTATAATCTGGTGTTAGGACCAGGTGAAACTCTGGCTTCAGAGTCTGCATTCCATGAATTATTCCAAGATATACAAATACACCCTACATAGGATGTTGGTACTGATATACAATGTATGTAAAGCTCAGACTTACACAGTTTCCAAATTTCTTGTCAAGCATAAAGCAATGAACCAAAATTATATGGCATTTGGAAGAGTACACACACTGACCACACTTTATTTTTTAACTTCTGAAAACGTATGATATTCAGCAAGTTAGTTTTAGACATGCTAAATATTCCATAGTTCAACCACTGTCCCGATCTCTACCACAGGTTACTGGAAGTATTTCTATGATATAGAATTCTCTTCAGTCAAAAATATTCACTCTCTAACTACTAGCTGGAGAGGAATCACCAAAAGATTTCGAGTTTGAAAACTTTTGAAATCCCTGGCCAATATACTGCTGGACATGAACAGAAAAATATGTTCATGCTACAATCAGGATGCTTGCGATTCCCAATTCAAAACATATACTATCTTGTTTGCACTGTTCCTTGCAAGAATATGATGTGACAAGTATGCGGCTTGGTGCTTTTTAGCACACCTCGTCTGAACAGCAAATCACTAATAATAATGAATGACTAAGCTGATTATGAACACATTTTGTCAGAAGCATCCTTGGAGGAAGGGGAACAGATTTTGTAAAAATATTGGGTCTCAGTCCCCAGGGGCCTAAGGGGTGGGACTCGAAAAGTGAAATTTTGCAAGTTCTTAAAAATCCTACTCCTCCTGTAGGAATGATTGCTTTTTTGGCCAAATTTGGTCTGAAGCATTATTGAGAAGGAGAATAAATTTTGTAAAAATGGTAGGTGTCAGCCCCCTTGGGTAGGAAGGGTGGGGTTTAATGGGGGAAAATATAGCAAATTATTTAAATCCTACTTCTCCTGTAGGAATGAATGACTGGATTTTGTCCAAATTTGGTCTGAAGCATTCCTGGGTGAAGAGTAACCAATTTAGTATAAATGATGGGTCTCCACTCCTGTACTAGGAGGGGAAGGGCCATTATAGGAAATAGAGCAAATTCTTTAAAATCCTTCTTCTTCTGAGGGAATGATTTGGTTTGAAGTATGAATTGTTTGGCTTCCCCTCTAAGGATAGAGGGTTAGGGTCCAATAGGAAAATAGATACGCTTTGTGTTGTGAGGGCTTGGATATTTAGATTTCATTTTCCTTTAATGAAGCGATTTGAGCCAAACAGAGCCAGATGAGCAATACAGGCCCCATGTGCCTCTTGTTTAGATATTGCCCTTGTAAATGAAAACACTTTGGGTATCATAATTCTAAGACAAAACCAGGTTTAAGAATATGCCTGTTGTTCATATAGAAATTAGTAGGATTACTAAAGGGGTCGTATGCACCTGAGTCTTTATAGCTTCACAGTTTCATTTGTAGCATTACATCTACAGCAACTGCACAGTGTGAAAGACTTCAAGTAACATTTGTACATCATAATAGCTAAAGGCTTGATGTCGAAACGTTTTCAAAAAATATTCACAAAACCTCAGGGACTTTGTTAGGAATTCATGCCCTGTGAACATTAAATTTTGTTTTTGTGGTATAAAGAATTGTACACATAAGTTTTGTTCCAGCTTCAGGAAACTAATGACAAACAAATTTGATCGTAATTTAAGTAATGCTAAAATCGAAATTCTTACTCCTATCATAATGTCTACAGAAACATATATGTACATATTTTAGCATTTTTGTAAAGTAAATATTGTGCTAAAATATGTACATTTGCAGTATTGCATATATTGCATTTTCTGAATGTTATTCATATACCAATCTAAGTGGATGAGCTATTTTATCCTTGTGCTAATTTGCCAAAAAGTTATATTACACTAAACCAAATTTGATTGAGCTAAGTCAACAGAATACCAGTAAAGCAGATGTTAACTGGTAATTTTTTTGTACTAATGTACTGCAATATCACTTTTTATTATATTTATATTTATACATTTATATTGGTGTTGATGTGTTGTTTTCAATTACAGGTAGTGAAGGGAGCAGGTCACCATGTTTATGCTGATAAGCCAATACCATTCAACACACTTATAACACAGATCTGTGATTTGGTAGACAGAGGCATCTTACCCTTAAAATCTAATAGTCCAAAGTACAAACAAGGCATGACAAATCGGACAACAAGTGAAAGTTCACCAGATAAAGACCTAACTCAGCCAGACACAGTACCAAGTTCTTTATAGACAAAATGTTCAGTGTACTTCCAAACATATATTATCATCCAATCTCTGTATAGGATTTCACTTCATTTGTTATCTCATCATTAGTAATGAGTTTGCGTTCTCGAAAATAAAAACAGTACTCTGTCCTCAAGGTGGTAATGATGGTAGTTTTACATTCAGTTAAGTGATTTTCTTAAAGACTCTTAGGTAAATTGAACCTAGTGTGATAATTAGCCTGTTCAGAAACAATGGCAGGGAACTTAATTTGGTCTCATAGTACACATTTCTATCTGCAGCACGTTTGTCAGTTTATCCAGAATTCTCTGGAATGTTATTATAGGTTGAAACATGCAATTCACAAGATGTGTACAAGTATATATTTCAATATAACAGAGCGTAATCGTCACTGACAAGCATATAAAAATGACTTATTAGTAGCAAAGAACAGTTTAAAAAGCCATCATTTATGTCGGCAAAAGTTTTCTTTTTTTAAATATTTACAATTGAAGCATACATTTTAGACTCTTTAGACTAATCTCTTAGTATTAAATTAAACCTCTGAGAAATATTAAAAAGTTTTAATGTCTCAAACTAATTTGTAAACTTGGGGAAAGTCCTGGTAGAATTAAAGTCCTTGTACTGGCCACCATGTAACATTTTTAATATTGACAGATTCTGCATATCTTCAATCTTTATAAAGTGCTTCAAGTTTTATTTTAGAAAGAGGTTATTTGGTTTTTGCTACTGGAAGTGTTTGCATTTATAGATTAACTTGAGTTAGTCATATAATTAATTTGTCATACTGTTGTCGCATACACACACAACTGCAGATATTTTTTAAAAGTTGTGTTTGGTATCCCTGCCTTAATAAACAGTGTTATGGCCCTTCATTCAGGAATGATATTTTTTCCAGGCATTTGAACTCTTGCCAATTTGCAATTGTCAAATTTTGTATGAAATTTGCTATATTGTGTATTTCCGACAGAGTTGTAGCCCTTTGTTGATTTATATTCCAATTTTTTACTTGAGGTCAGTAGTTTAATAGTTGACCTGTTTTAATTTATACTTGAACATGAGTAATTATCTAAATCTGAACCCTATTACCTGTCATTCCTATGATGTTTTTAGAAGAAAACAAAACCAATGTTTTTTTTTCTCAGCTCATTCCAAAGAATAGTCTTGATTATTCAAACTTTTTTCTGACTTTTTAAATCAGTGTAGAATCTATTGATTCCAGAACAATATTGAAAACTGATACAATGGCTGAATTATTAGGACTATTCAATGGTGCAGTGCTTTTATCAGATATATCCGATCATCAACAATGATTTGTTTTATTGTACTTTTTGCATAAACAGTGTTATTTGTCTTGCATAAGGTGTTATTTGAACAAGAATAGCAAGTCGTTAACACGATGAATGTATAGATAAAGTGTTTTTGTGCTTTCTTATGTTTGTTGAGTCGCCCTACAGTCTACTCTGCCTGGAAAAACCAATGTTTTCCCGCATATATGCTTGAAGAACACATTATATAAAAACTCAGGGTACTGTCAGTAAATATATCTAATGTGTAAAGAAAGTGTATGTTGCATTTACTGTTTGCTATGTCAAGTAAATGTGATTCACGTTAATAAACCATGCTTTAAATTTATTAAGGAACTGAACTTGTTCTTTTTATTGTTTGAGAAAAAACAATGGATATTAATCACATTAGATTCTGGCAACACTGTTCATTTCTTTATTTGTGGATATTTCTTAACTTTTCAATTCTCTATAACAACTTATACGTACACAAAAGGTTAAAATGGTGTCACTATGGACATAATTTTGTAATGAAATTTGACAAATGAAGCTTTTGTTTTGGTTAATAATGAATATGCTTATAATATAGAGTTAAATGACAAAGCATGTGACGAGTTTTCTAATTTATAATTTAATTGCAACAAATACATTTCATGTCAATAAAATAAATAAGCACAGCCAACTGAAAAATAAAAGTAACCAAATGGACGATTATCACAAATGTACAATATAACATGTCTAGTCTAAGTGTCAGTTAAGATTATATTAATATTTCAACAAGGTAAACTTCCCACTTTAAATAAATAGTATGAGTATATATATTTAGATACATGTATATGTAACAAGAAAAACATTTCTATACCACAGTCTGTTGCCATGGAAGTACCTAATTCATTTTACAGATTTGATATTGACCAGAAGTGTTTACCTGTCAAGGGAGTCAGACTGCTGGCCATGGCATTTCCTCTCAATTTTCATAGCAGAGAGTGTAAATCAAGATTACTAAAAAACTTACTCATAGAATTGATATATACATTTCCTAACATTTTCGGTGACTCACCGTCCCAAAGCCCACTCTCCGTGTTTGAGCATCAGGATTGTGGGTCAAGATGAATTCTGGAAAGGATTTAAAAAAGACCAAATGTGAATAGATCAAGTCTGAGGCAAGGAGCTGACTCAATGCATAGGCTTATTGTAGTATAATCATGGGTGTCACTGGACTTAATATACAATAACCATGGGCAGTGAAGACTTTTGAGTTGATTCACTATGTGGCCTTACAGTATGATAATCATCATAGGTAAGTACTTAAATACAACGAATTGACTTGCTGCAGAATCTTATTTCAAAATTAATTTTAGAGGAACTGGAACTCTGAATTAACTCACTGCACAGACTTATTACAGAATGAGACTCTGAATTGACATGTAACACAGACTTCTTACAGAATGAGACTCTGAATTGACATGTAACACAGACTTCTTACAGAATGAGACTCTGAATTGACATGTAACACAGACTTCTTACAGAATGAGACTCTGAATTGACATGTAACACAGACTTCTTACAGAATGAGACTCTGAATTGACATGTAACACAGACTTCTTACAGAATTAGACTCTGAATTGACATGCAACACAGACTTATTATAGAATAATGAAACTCTGAATTGACATGCCACACAGACTTATTGTAAAATAATGAAACTCTGAATTGACATGTCACACAGACTTATTGTAAAATAATGAAACTCTGAATTGACATGCCACACAGACTTATTACAGAATGAGACTCTGAATTGACATGCAACACAGACTTATTACAGAATTAGACTCTGAATTGACATGCAACACAGACTTATTATAGAATAATGAAACTCTGAATTGACATGCCACACAGACTTATTGTAAAATAATGAAACTCTGAATTGACATGCCACACAGACTTATTGTAAAATAATGAAACTCTGAATTGATGTGCCACACAGACTTATTATAGAATAATGAGACTCTGAATTGACATGTAACACAGACTTATCGTAGAATAATGAGACTCTGAATTAACTACGTACAAAGATGAATTACAGTGGGATATATCTGGGTACTTCAGGATTAGATTGAAGCCTTATTTAAGAAATAATCAATTGAGGCTTCCTAACTGAAGCTTAACCTGAAGTTCTTTAACAGTAAATGCCCACACCAAATTTGACATGATCACACCAAATACAATTTACCTCGAATTGTTAAGTCTCTAATACAATTTAACATTTCAAATTCGACGGCAAATACGTTTTTTCCCCCCAAGGTTTCAAATTTTTGCAGTTTGCCAAAGGCTAAAACAGAAAAGATGTATTTTCACTCAATTTTTGACATGTACAAGAAGTTTTTATTAATTTCATTTTTAACGTATTTGTTGCTGGAGATTTATTGCATCCTTGAAAATATCAAAGATAAGAACCCACAAAAATATCACCTTTTCCTAATTTCATTCATTTTATTTTTAATGTATTTATTGCTGGAGATTTATTTGCATCCTTGAAAATAGTAAAGATAAGAATCCACAAAAATATCACCTCTTACAGTATATCATATACAGTGTCACTACACACTTAGTTAATCAAACTGAGCAAAGATATTGGCAAGGTCATCCAGTGTAGTCTGTGTGTGAGTGTCAGTGGAGGAAAAGAGACCAGGGAGTGTGGTTTGTGTCTCTGTGTCAGTGAGACAGGTAGAGCCGAGCTGTGGTGTTTGGGTAGCCTCGCTCTGATGTAGCGCATCAGTAGACATCCCGCTTCGTTGAACAGAAGTGGTTTGTGTGGCTGAGGACTGTGTATCTTCCCCTACCATTGTTGAAAGCGGATCATCTACTGACTGGAAATCAAACATGGTCTGTGTCTGGATGTCGGTAAAGGTGAAGTTATCCAGGTCAAGGTCATCAGTTGTTTGGGTCTCCATGTTGTTCATTAACAAATCAAACATATCAAAGTCATTGATGGTCTGAGTGTGCATGTCCATCAGCGTGTCAGAGGCATTGGTATTAGTCTGAGCTGTCCGTAGTAACAGAGAGTCCAGGTCTGATGCTGAGGTCAAAGTCTGCACTTGAGAGTCAGTCAGTGAAACAAACTCAGAAATAGTTTGCTGGGAGTCAGAGGTCATTGAGCCAGCATCCTGACCCTTTGAAGTTTGACCACCAAATACACTTGTTTGAGTGATGCCAAATTGTGAAGAAGCAGAAGAGGATGTATTTATAGAATCCATAACTTGGGTAGATGCTTCCACCAAATTGCTAAAAGATGATGATGGCATGCGTTTTGTGTAAACAATGTCCCTGGCAGAAGATTGTATATCTTCAACATCTGTTCCTACAGATATATCTCTACAAGTTGAAATAAGAAAGTTCTGAAAATCATCCCCCAGGTCCAAATCTGTGGATGTGCCCTGGGTGTTATTACTTCTTTTATTCAATGAAACTCTGGAACCAATGTTAGAAACTGGGCTTCTTGATGTTTCAACAGCCATGTTACCAGAGTGTTGATTAGGTACCAAAGAAGGTGAACAATCTGCAACAGCTTTCCTACGTTTACCTGTCGCTCTTGATCGCCTAGAATAAGTCTGTGGTACTCTAATCCGCATAGAATCCTCCATTCCATTGTCTGCGTTCACAGGTGCATTGGAAGTGGGAGAAATAAAAGTGTTCATGTCTTTTGGAGGACTGTTGCTTGGACCCATTGTAACTTTGTGTGCTGCTGAGGAAGAATACAGAAACACATCGTCAGGGTTGATGACATCTTGAAGGGGCATGGCAAGAGTTTGACATATGTTATCCACCATTCTATTTGTCTGTGCACATGTGCTCATCATCCCCACACTCTCAACCTGACATGTGGAGTCACTTGTCATTGTGATGAGAGCTAGAGGGTGAGCTGCTGATGTTTGGGAAGTTGAGTCCATTCTTAGTGGTTCCCCTATGAGGGATCCTTTACGTCGTCGACGCTTCCTTACGGCTGTCTGTTCATTAACTGTCTGCGTTTCACTGGAACAGGTCCTGCCTTTTTCAAGTGCCCTGACCTTGGACCTTGGGGTCATTTGTGTCCCAACAGACAACTTATGAATTGGAATATTTGCAGTTGCCATGGCAGTCTGTAATATGAGATCACCTGATGTCTGTGTCTGTGCAGCATTTCGTTGTTGATCTGTTGTCTTCCTTTGTGGAATTGTCACATTTGTTTGCATTCCAGTCTCCATCAGCAGAGCTTGTGTCTGAGTATTTGCTAATTGATTTTCACCTGAAACATGACTCTCATTCCTTGGCATTTTGCCATGATTATCTCCCCTTTCATGTAAGTTTTTCTGATTATCTGCATTCTGTTTGTCCTCTACTTTTTTCTGTTTGACCTTGATATTGTCAACAGTCACAGTGACTGTGGTTAATGGGATCACATTGAGGTTTGGAGTGGGCTTGCAAAGAATAGGTTTGAGGTGAGTAACCTTTGTCCCCAGTGAGCCTGGATTTGTTTGAAGACTTGGAGGTGTTGGTTGGATGTTAACTAGAATTACTTTAGGAGGTGGTTGTCCTTGGAAGGGATCCTGGCCAGGAAGCTGGTTCTCAAACTGTCGTTTTTTTGACTTCTTCATTTTTCTGTGAAAATATGAAAATTCACATTACTTTCCAGTGTTTGCAATACTGTTCATATTGGTTTTGCACCGCGTCAGTACCAACTTTTAACTTAAACTTGTCTTTTTTAATCCCATAAAGGTAAGATGACATTCTACATTACTTATTAATAGATGAAAATATAGTTTATACAAATATTTTGTATCTGGTTGATACAAACCACCCAAATTTTCAAATGCTGATCCAGATTAATTGTACATGGAATTAATTTGGATTTTCTGATTATATGTTATATACTGTTCGCCACTCTGAACTTTTCATTTCACAAGGAAATGATATGTGCAAAATAGACTTTACCATTGTAAATAAATTCAAACTTCTCATTAAAGACAGGTAGGTGGCGGTAACACAGAAGGACGATACAGAATTTGATGCCTCTTTTACGAGCAAACAGTTGACATTGATTGGTATATTACCAGACAACTGGTTTAATGGCAAATATTATGGCATCTTATTTTACAAGAATTACTGAGATTTATATTAATATCAAGTGAACTACCTAAAATTTTGTTCCAGTAACTTTAAGACTGGGGTGGTGGCAAATATTTGTCAAAAAACTTAAGCTTGAATCTCCAATTTTTACTTAAAATATCTTCCTTACTCAATGTCAAAAGACAGACCACACTCTACATTTTAATTCATAGTCAACAAGTTCTTATTAATTTCAGCATAATTACTTTTTTAAAATTTTTTACTATGTACATTATCAAAATAATCTAGAAAAAAATATGATATTTTGATACAATGTCAGTGAGTTGGTATATGATTTTAAAATCTCATTTCCACCTGAATTTGACATTGTATCAGTTTCAAATACTGACTTTGCTGCAAGTTCCTCTCTTGCCTTGATGATCTCTGCAGGTATGTCATGTGACTTTCGTTGACAGTGCGTTAGCATAGCCTCCCGTGTGGTGTAGGGGCACTGACAAGTTGCACACTTATAGACAACGCCACATCTGACCTCATGGCGATCTTTGTCACGACTCAAGCTAAATGCAGCACCACATTTTCCACACTTGTACTTTTTCTCTCCGTGGACCTTATTGAAGTGCTGGAAGAACAGGGAAGGTAATTTCATTAACAAAATCAAATCTTTTTGAGTAACCAAATTATTTGCTCCTTTCTATATATAATCATGTAGTCCTAAATACCACTCAACACATAACTTTTTACTCAAAATAGAACTGAGGATGATGAATTAAAAAAATAACGCAATTATTGAAATATCAGCCAAATCTTAATGGATAATCCAAACACGAATTTGATGAAAATATGGTGAAATATCAACAAAAGAAAAATTTACACAAAAACTCCTAAAAAATTACAAGGAGAATAAGACCAGGTGTTCTGGAATGGGTTTATAACTGGGCAACGATACGTCATTTGTTGGAATTTCAAATAAAACTGCAATAAATACAGGTTGTTTTATTACCAAGCATGAATTTATTTCCATATAGATATAATAAGTACAGTGAGATATATAAAACATTTAAATACTGATAAATACAGATGTGTACTGATTGGACCTTAAAGGAGATTTTTTATGAAATGAGTTTTAAAAGTTTATAATGTGCCTTTGTGATAAAATGAAAACAAGGAAAGATTACATTTTGACAAGTTTCAAATGGAAGCCTTTTTTGGGCCATTTTTAATTCTAGTAACAAATACAGAAGAGGCTTACAGAATGAAATTACATGTGAATTCACTACATGAGAGACAAATTAGATCATAAAAGAAGATAAGTGCAATAATACAAATCAGATAAATTATATGATAACCGGGTGTAAGTATGATAATACAAATCAGACAATCAAAGGACAGTATATTTAATGGCCATTGTATATCTGCAAATCTTTCCAATGGGCCTCATAAGCATATTTATATTTTGAATAATGGATTCCAGTTACCAGTGTTAATCTGAGTTAACATTGCATTCAGTAGGATGTGATTACATTCTAGATCGAAAGACAATGATATGAGGTAATTTTGCCATCATATTGACCTATGTCACATCAACAAATTAAACAATGCCACTGTTGCAATACTTTATCTTATCCAATTGTTAATTGTGATGTTACAATGTGTGGGTGTGTAAATAAAGATGATGTCATTATTGAATTCAATGTTAAAGAGTACGAACAACAGTGTGAAGTCCAAGTTATTCCTTAACATTCCAATGTATTACATGGTGCTGTGACCAGGATGGAGACTGATGAAGGCATTGCGGGCTGGAAACAAGGTTGTCATTACAATAATGCTGAAAATACTAGACTTGTGTAATGAAGATGAAAGTGAGGCTAAAACACTTAAAAAATGAAGAGATATGAAGACTTTTAAAGACTGAGCAATAAAAGAGTAAAAACAACATAATGTGAAGTACAGTACATCTCAGAGCTATTCCTCAATGTTCAAGTTCATTACAACCACAGACAACTATGATTTTTCTGGAAGCTCTTCCAGTAATATAATTATATTGGAAAACACCTTTTTGATTAAATACATGCTACTATTTGAAAATAATACCTGAAATATCATTAAAAGTATCTGTAACTACTGAAAAGCTTTTTGATTGTATTTATAGTCAATATAAATAAAAGTGACAGATTAAATCATAATGTTTGTAACCTCCTGATGTCCTAGCTAGTGGACATCAGTTTATTTATCTGTCAGCCGTCATTACCGCTTAACACCAGCTGTACGAGCAACTGGCATTAATTTTGGCAGAGGAGCTATAACAAACCATCAAAAAAATGCAAATTTGACTTTTATGTGTCTGACTTCAGCCTATATAGTATAACTATACTCCTGTAGTTTTTTACCTGTTTGAGCAGCTTCATGGAGGCAAAGTGTCTCGGTGATGAAATGTTATATGGACATGAAGTTTTTGGGCAATGATATTCTGTGGGAAAGTCTCCATTTTTATCTTTGTTATTGCGATTCGCTGAACTGCTTTTCTGTACAAGAGAAAAAAAACAAATTGTAATGAAAATGATACTATACAAAAAACATATCTATAAACATTGGTTTTTTTCTTCTTTTGATAAAAAGTGACATGCATGTACATAAACATATATCAAAAATTAAAAGAATAATGTACACATATCATAGCTTTCTATTGATAAATGGTAAAAATATTGCAAAGTAAATTCTAAAAACTAATCCATTTTTTGAACGATTCTTATTTTCTATTTGACAGAATGTCAAACTCCTTAATACTGTGGAACGTTATTGATTTACATTATAGAATATTATGGTTTATCATAGTATTATTGTAAACAAATACTTGTTTTGTTTGTTTACTGTCTGTTGTATACATGTGTAAAGTAGTAGGTTGGTGTGACTTGTATTTAGTGCAAAAAACGGTCTCTATCACTCAGCTCAATGAAGCATGCTTCTTTGGTTCAGCTGGTAGAACTGGGTGTAAATCATGCTGGAAACTGGATCGATTCTTTGTCGGGGAACTTGACAGGAATATGCAGTTTTCCTGTTTTTTTAACATGTATACAAATGAGCGAATGGAAAAAAAACTGGCTTAGACACATGCTTGTGTCTGACGAAGGCCAAGCTGGGAGAGAGAAGGGTGATAACTAGTAGTTTTTGCACGATTTGATCATATTGGATTAGGATTGTCCCAGTGGTTTATACCTGATCGACAATCCCATGTGTTTTCGTGACGTGCATACGTAGACAGCTAGTATTGGGAAGGATCTGACCACAGTTCTCTATGGGACAAGGTACATTAGACTGGACATCTCCGAATGTATCCTCTGGTGGACATACGATCCAAACACCTCTGCTCTTGTCAAGAGTCATAGCATTTTTTGTCTGATCACAGGGGGTCTGGCCCTGGTTTGGACCTTTATCAGCTCCAGCCATCCTTACACTGTTGCCATATCTTAGGCCTACGCTCTATCGATACCATATCCAGTTTATGAAGTATGGGTATATTCGAGTACACAGAAAAGCCACAATATGTTTACTAATATACCCCGGTGACATAACTCCATGACTTCAGTCATAAATATCTCTCAGCTTTGCCAGCTTCAGCGGAAGCGGAAGTTTCACGGTACGAGGTTGATATGATCGGACGATGATTTACAGGATAGGGCCGGAGCGAGTTGTTAACAGAAAGTCGATTCGGTCAAGTCTGTTGTGTGTGGTCAGATTTTTAATACAGCCAACTAATTTGGGGGTCCCTGCTTACAGATATATATGTATCTCTGATATATATATATATATATAACACGTCTCTGCACGCCTGTAACATTTTCTCTCTTTGATTACAAAATTTATTTAGGTCAAAGTCATACTCTTCTTTCCTATTTACAGTTGAGAACCCAGTTCGAATTTGACTTGAGAAAATGAGTCCCTGGCCTGGTTTTGGGGAAGTCGTCTAGTCTATGGGCTACACCAGACCAGAGACATACATAACACATATATACGTCTCTGACCAGACTCATATATAACACATATATACGTCTCTGACCAGACTATATTCGACAACTCTTGAAATATCTTATAAATTACTTAATCAACTACTTGAACATACATTTATAGGAGATTATCTCTGATTTCTTAATGACTAACATTTTTCCCCCTTAATTTAGAGGGGAACGGCTATATACCGACACCAACTTTTTCGGGGTTTAAACACCGTAAAAATGCATTTACGCTCAGCAGTTGCCCTTCACACTGCACTAAGATTTATACCAGTATTATTGTGAAACGTACAGATTTTTTAAATGGCCTTCGGCATCCCACAAGCCGACCAGTGATACTTTATTTGAAATAGGCTCTGCCTAAAAGAGAGCGCAAATTGATCAACTAGATGTGCAATTTGAACTGCCTGATTAATGTCTGCACTGAAGCGTGTTTTTAAATTTGTTTCTTGTATCTGTAGCAAGAGTTTAACAAAGCACCGGAACACACATCATCATCATCATAATCATCACCATAATCATCACCATCATCATCATAATCATCACCATCATCATCACCATCATAATCACCATCATCATCATAATCATCACCATCATCATAATCATCATCATCATCGAGATAATTGAGGCGTTGGTTGGATGACGCAGTTGTAACGCATCCGTCTATGACCCCTCGCATGTTTACAACAACTTTGATCAATATACGTTATAAAAAAAGGTTTCTATATGTAGATAAGTCATCCTACACATAAATATACAACCACACAACAGAAGACAACCAAGAGAGAGAGAGAGAGAGAGAGAGAGAGAGAGAGAGAGAGAGAGAGAGAGAGAGAGAGAGAGAGAGAGAGAGAGAGAGAGAGAGAGAGAGAGAGAGAGAGAGAGAGAGAGAGAGAGAGAGAGAGAGAGAGAGAGAGAGAGAGAGAGAGAGAGAGAGAGAGAGAGAGAGAGAGAGAGAGAGAGGAGAGACAGAGAGAGAGAGAGAGACAGAGAGAGAGAGGGAGAGAGAGGGAGACAGAGAGAGAAAGAGAGAGACAGAGAGGGAGACAGAGAGAGAGAGAGAGACACAGAGAGAGACAGAGAGGGAGACAGAGAGAGAGACAGAGAGAGACAGAGAGGGAGACAGAGAGAGAGAAAACAAGATAGAGAGGGAGGAGAGAAGGAAAGAGAGAAAACAGAAAACAAGAGAGAGAAGGGGAGAGTAGTGGGAGAGAGAGAGAGGCAGAGAGAGATACACAGACGTTTTTGGGATTGGAGACGATGTAAAAATTATTAGATTTATATTTTACACATCATTCCACATTTGAAACAACCAACGATATAATTGTTTCATATTTAATTTTTTCCTTTCGAAACAAAATAGAAAATAGAAAAACACCATGTAATCTCCCTCAAAAAAGGAATGATATGAGTATTCGATCCAAGAGCTTTGCATCTGAGAGCAGGGATCTTATCACTGTGCTACCGTTACGTTATTGATACTAGACTTATTAATTGTAGAGTTTGAAATGTTAATGTATCTTTCAAAAAAGAAAATTGAATCCTGTTTGTCTGTTAAAGTTATTACTAATAGAATTTACACTGACAGTTTAACACAATGGAGAAACGTCCAGTGTCTTTCGATCAGATTGGATTTGCCTTAGTCCCTTCATATCACTGATGAGAGGAATAAGGGCGAAACTGTTGTAAGGTGCAGTTTAATTAACTACTTGGCGTTACTGTATCTAACGTTTGATAGCTTCCTTTAGGAGGTGACAAACCCCACCATCCACCTTTTTGTGTATTTCTTATATATGTTCTGTACAGACGTCTGTGTCGGTAAACACTCATTTGCATACATGGTGCTGTTTCACTTAAAATTCAATGCAACTAATAAAACCAAACCTACCTTGAGGTATTTTTTTGTTTATAATAACCATTTGGTCACTTTACTTAGCAATGTTTTTACGAAAAACTGAAATACGGTGAGTTTTTGAAGCTATTGGGTACTGGTGTAGCGGATCTGTTTTACAAACGTTCAATATACGTTACCTATACCGTGATACACAAAGGGCATCAGGTAAAAATATTAAATAAGATTATTTAAACGGAGGTGAGGACCGAAATTTAATTTCACAATTTACAAAATGTAATACCCGACATTACTTCAATGTCTGATTTCGTTGGTATTCTTAAATTAGTGTGCTTTGAAGTGAATAGATTTGAAATACCGCGTTTAAGTTTTTTCCTTTTGTATATGTAGAATACAAAAGCGAGATTAGAACACGTCTTCATGAAGAAGTCAAGTGTGACTTTGCTGGCAAGTGTGGGCTGTCACGTGAGCAAAGCTCCCGAAAATAGTGTTCTACTTATACCCTTTTCTAGTCGCTTTTATGAATGTGGCCATAGCATGTCCGTTACGGTCTGCTGAGTTCATGTACACTCCTGGGGATCTACAGGAAATATGCAATTCCATAATTGCCAATCTTTTAACACCTTTATTTATTTTTTTAATCAACTATCGTAAATTGCAAACAGTCAATATGCTGTGTGATCCAGGGACCCTTATTACGAATGCCAGGGTTTGGTGATTCAGACTGATTTATATAGACATATATAACGTAACGTCGAGAAATTGGCGATCGTGACAGGTATTTGTTTGGCTGACACATGTAGATTTCTCGGACAGTTGAAGAAAATCATTATAGATCTAGTTTCGAATAAAACGTTACAATGGTTTTAAAACATCCGTTTGATTTAAACATATTTAATTCCAAATAAATAGTTACAAAATAATTGGACATAAGTATTCACAATGAGTAATGAGAGGGAGAGAGAGAAAATGAGAGAGAGAGAGAGAGAGAGAGAGAGAGAGAGAGAGAGAGAGAGAGAGAGAGAGAGAGAGAGAGAGACAGAGAGAGAGACAGAGAGAGACAGAGAGGGAGACAGAGAGAGAGAAAACAAGATAGAGAGGGAGGAGAGAAGGAAAGAGAGAAAACAGAAAACAAGAGAGAGAAGGGGAGAGTAGTGGGAGAGAGAGAGAGGCAGAGAGAGATACACAGACGTTTTTGGGATTGGAGACGATGTAAAAATTATTAGATTTATATTTTACACATCATTCCACATTTGAAACAACCAACGATATAATTGTTTCATATTTAAATTTTTCCTTTCGAAACAAAATAGAAAATAGAAAAACACCATGTAATCTCCCTCAAAAAAGGAATGATATGAGTATTCGATCCAAGAGCTTTGCATCTGAGAGCAGGGATCTTATCACTGTGCTACCGTTACGTTATTGATACTAGACTTATTAATTGTAGAGTTTGAAATGTTAATGTATCTTTCAAAAAAGAAAATTGAATCCTGTTTGTCTGTTAAAGTTATTACTAATAGAATTTACACTGACAGTTTAACACAATGGAGAAACGTCCAGTGTCTTTCGATCAGATTGGATTTGCCTTAGTCCCTTCATATCACTGATGAGAGGAATAAGGGCGAAACTGTTGTAAGGTGCAGTTTAATTAACTACTTGGCGTTACTGTATCTAACGTTTGATAGCTTCCTTTAGGAGGTGACAAACCCCACCATCCACCCTTTTGTGTATTTCTTATATATGTTCTGTACAGACGTCTGTGTCGGTAAACACTCATTTGCATACATGGTGCTGTTTCACTTAAAATTCAATGCAACTAATAAAACCAAACCTACCTTGAGGTATTTTTTTGTTTATAATAACCATTTGGTCACTTTACTTAGCAATATTTTTACGAAAAACTGAAATACGGTGAGTTTTTGAAGCTATTGGGTACTGGTGTAGCGGATCTGTTTTACAAACGTTCAATATACGTTACCTACACCGTGATACACAAAGGGCATCAGGTAAAAATATTAAATAAGATTATTTAAACGGAGGTGAGGACCGAAATTTAATTTCACAATTTACAAAATGTAATACCCGACATTACTTCAATGTCTGATTTCGTTGGTATTCTTAAATTAGTGTGCTTTGAAGTGAATAGATTTGAAATACCGCGTTTAAGTTTTTTCCTTTTGTATATGTAGAATACAAAAGCGAGATTAGAAGACGTCTTCATGAAGAAGTCAAGTGTGACTTTGCTGGCAAGCGTGGGCTGTCACGTGAGCAAAGCTCCCGAAAATAGTGTTCTACTTATACCCTTTTCTAGTCGCTTTTATGAATGTGGCCATAGCATGTCCGTTACGGTCTGCTGAGTTCATGTACACTCCTGGGGATCTACAGGAAATATGCAATTCCATAATTGCCAATCTTTTAACACCTTTATTTATTTTTTTAATCAACTATCGTAAATTGCAAACAGTCAATATGCTGTGTGATCCAGGGACCCTTATTACGAATGCCAGGGTTTGGTGATTCAGACTGATTTATATAGACATATATAACGTAACGTCGAGAAATTGGCGATCGTGACAGGTATTTGTTTGGCTGACACAGGTAGATTTCTCGGACAGTTGAAGAAAATCATTATAGATCTAGTTTCGAATAAAACGTTATAATGGTTTTAAAACATCCGTTTGATTTAAACATATTTAATTCCAAATAAATAGTTACAAAATAATTGGACATAAGTATTCACAATGAGTAATGAGAGGGAGAGAGAGAAAATGAGAGAGAGAGAGAGAGAGAGAGAGAGAGAGAGAGAGAGAGAGAGAGAGAGAGAGAGAGAGAGAGAGAGAGAGAGAGAGAGAGAGAGAGAGAGAGAGAGAGAGAGAGAGAGAGAGAGAGAGAGAGAGAGAGAGAGAGAGAGAGAGAGAGAGAGAGAGAGAGAGAGTGAGAGAGAGAGAGAGAGAGAGAGAGGAGAGAGAGAGAGGGAGAGAGAGAGAGAGAGAGAGAGAGAGAAAGAGAGAGAGAGAGAGAGAGAGAGAGAGAGAGAGAGAGAGAGAGAGAGAGAGAGAGAGAGAGAGAGAGAGAGAGAGAGAGAGAGAGAGAGAGAGAGAGAGAGAGAGAGAGAGAGAGATGAAAAATATACGTTTTAAGAAAAGAAAAGAAGTTATTATATGTAGATAAGTCATCCTACATACAAAGTTTCTATATGTAGAGAGAACAAACGTGGTGCTCTATTCTTGAATGGTTAAACTTGTAATGGGATAATGATTGACGTCACGCATTTGCAGATTACATTGGTATGTAACAAAGTTGAAACTTTATCATTACATCGTTTGTTTTCATATTATCTGTATCGAACAGCTGGGCGTTATTTTCACATAATGAAGTTTACTGTTATGCGCTAATGCCATGAAGTTTGCTAATCAATGTCCATAAACTGCCAATCAGAAAATTAAAATTTAGACAGTAAAAACCTTTAGACGAGTAAAAGTTTAAGAAAGATCTGTCATATATACCTTTCCATGCTGCGTGTGCCTTTGACGACGCTTATGACGTCGATTGGGCACATAACACTTGATAAGACAGGTTGTTGATGACCATCTTCCAATCAAGGAGAAGACTCCCAAAATCAACAAACCTGTAGTGGTGGACCAAGTTCAAGTTCAAGTTTATTGGATCCTCAGATACATGAAAATGTATAACATGAGGTAAAACAATACTATATCAATAGATACCTGACAAAATGGATGGTAACTGAAAGTCGTAACGCTTCACTGTATTTTGTTAGGACTAATCAAAGTACACAGTACTTTCATAGATCAGACTGATAACAACTAGCACAATACAATTTACTTATATAAATCAAGGTGGTAGCATAACATCACGCTATATAAGGATACCATAGTGTTACTTCAAAATATTTTGTTAAGACTTTAAAGAACTACTGATCTACAGTCTAATGTCTAATAAATGTTGTTCTGACCACAAAACAGTTTTATGTGATAATGATCGAGTTATATTGTATATCAAAATGAGGTCTGTAAAATTTTAAACTCTCATTTTGTAAATGTTGCAAGTGGTGTTGGAATAGATCTTGTTGGAAATGAGGACTTCTCCAGTCACCTTAGCCTAGACTTTATACAAAAGAACCATGTTTCTGTGAATTCTTTTAGTTTTAATCATACTATACCATCTACTATTGTCAAGGTTGTTAATGGTCTTGACAGTAAGAAATCCACAGGTATGGATGGCATATCTCTGCCAAATTCTTAAAGTGGTTCGGATTCTTTAGTGTTGGCTCTCACAAACCTTGCACATTTTAGTTTTTCGGAGAGGACATTTACTGAAAGCAAGCCCAAGTAGTTCCTATCTAAAAAAAAAAATCCGATAGGTAAAGAGAACTATAAACCTGTCAGTGCTTTGCCTGCATTGTTTACAGTTTTAGAGTTATTCATGACAATCTCTCCTCATTCTTTGAATCTGTTTTTAATCCTTTTTTTAATCTACTTTCAGGAACGGTTACGGGTGCCAGATCACTTCTGCGACTCCTTGAGGACTGGTGTCAGGCCTTGGATAACAACAAATACGTTGGTGCCATCTTGATGGACTTGTCCAAGGTTTTTTTTACTTCCTACGACACGAACTGTTGCTGGAAAAGCTGAGGATCTATAGGCTAGAAAGCCCTTCTATTGATCTGGTCAGCAGATTGGTCTTGGGCCCAGTGACTGGGAGCATTTGACCAAAGGAGTACTTCAAGGGTCAATCGTCGTCCGTCTCTTATTCAATATTTTTATTAGTGACATCTTTTATGATATTTAGAATTGTACTCTTTATAATTACGCCGATGACAACACTTTGCCTTACATCATTGAGGATCCTGTTATCTTCTCCAATGTACTATGTACTAGAAAGTGAAAGCCAAAACCTAATTAAATGATTTAGTGATAAAGATATGCAAGCTAAGCCTTCTAAATTCCAAGCTGTTTAGGCAAAAAATACACGAATCTTCCTCTTTTTAAAATTTTGTCATGAAGCTAAATGTGAAGATTCTGTAATACTATTAGGTAATGATATTGATTATTTATCAAAATTTGATTTATATATTTCAAACATATGTAGGAAAACATCCAAACAATTGTGTATACTTAAGAGATTCGACTGTAACCTTACTAAGTTATGCAAGATACTTATTTTAAGTGTTTTTTTTTCTGTTCAAATTTTAACATTTGTCCACTTGCATATCATTTGTTGAAAAAAAAACAAAACAAACAAAAAAAAAAAAAAAACAAAAAAACAAAACAAAACAAAAAATCTAGCTCGAGAAGATACGAGCAGTCAGGTTTATTGAGAATGATTTTAGTAGTCCTTTAAGTGTACTTTTAGAAAACAACAAATCTACATATCTCCATATAAGTCGGATCAAAAGCATGACTATAGAAGTTTTAAATATTTTAAATGGTCTCTCTGCAAAATACATTTCAGACATTGAGAATTTAAATCTTCCAATTATCATTTCAGGAGGCTCCACAGGTCAGAACGAACCATCAGATTTGGAAAGAATCTTTCCGTTTTCAGTCATCATAGGTGTGGGATGGCTAGTTCTGTAGATGTAGTATTTGTATTTAATTATCTGTCATTCTCTGCCAGTTACATGCATACATGTGTGGTCATTTATCTAATTTCTTAATTTACATTGCTTTGGTTTATTCAATTGTTTCCATCCTATCTTTACAGTAAAACAGTTTAATTGTTTAGGTCAATGGTCATTTATTATTTAGTTTTATGCTTCTTACTAGTTTTCATATTTGCTTATTTTAGTTGTGCTTAGTCACTTGTATTGCCTGTGATAATTGTGTTTCTTGTTTTTATGCCTTTTTGTTTTCGTTTTAATAATAGCTCTACAGGGCTTCAGTTATATTGTTTTTAAACATGATGTTAAATAAAGGTTCTAGTATCTTTTCTTAATGTGCCTATTAACAAAAAGAAAAAAAAAACTTGTAGTTATGACGGGATATGTTAGTGTATGTCGTGTGAGTATTGTAGCTAATTTCTACATTATATACATTATACCGTGTATATTATATGCACAAGTACTCACCTTTATTGACAGCCGAAAATAGATATATGAATGGAAAATTCCCATGTGTGACCCATATTCATATATGAATGTGTCCAGCGTCGGTATTACATGAGAAGGATAACTGGAATATATATAGAGGGAACCGGGAACAGAAACGTCAAATATTTTATCATTACGTAAGTACTCGTTGCTGAATTTGACATACATGTACATCTGTATGTAGCATTTGTATTTTTGCTAGCAGACAGAAATGTCCTACTGACAGAAAGGCAAGTGTATCACACATGTTAAAAATGTCAGTCGATACACATGTGCATTGTTGTGTAAACAAAGACATAAAAGGTTGAGCTAATCATGAAGCTGTGGAAAGTTTATTAGTACTTTTACTGATATAGGTATGAAAGGTTTAACTCCGCGTGCAGGTGCTTGATTATGACTTGACTTGCAACGTCATTTGTCTAATTTGTAACGATGACATAAACGCTATAAATAGCTGGACGTTTCGTCTATACTGACTTAATGTGAGTAAGTAAGATTTGATCAGAGTTTAAACTTCACCTGGATAAGCAAACAACTTCGACGTCTGTCTCGCATGAAATAATCATTTTCGCATATGAATGCATTACGTAAGTACGTGACTGTTGCTACCAAAGATTTGTCACCAAAGGTCAGAGATCAAATTATCCATAATTATTTATCAAGTTTTTCATTTGTGAAAATAAAGGTCAATATCAAAGTTGCCAAAGGTAACTGGTCAAATGGTCAGTCGATAAATTCAGTATTGTTTATTTTAAATGTAAGTAAGTCTTAAAATATATTTATAGCTCACTAAGTGTCAGTGGTCAAATCGTCCATAAGCTCTGGTCAGGATAATACTTTTCTGTGTTGAATTCACAAGTAGATAACATTTGTCATTATAGGTCACAGATCAATGGTTTTTATCCATCTTAAGCGATAGTGTAATTTGTAGCCATTAATTACAATTAGAGTACAACAATTGTGAATCTCACACGTCAAAAATCAATGTAGAGGTCAACAATCGCCACAAGTCAAATTGTCCATCAAAATTTGAGATATCATTTACTTCATCAATAATTCTTATAATAGTTTTAGGTAAGTTAAAATATCATTCTTCTTAAATCAGCAAAAATCTCACACCTAATTGTTTATTAATAATTCTCAGTAATAAACGTAAAACGTAAATTATCTTCAAAGTTAATAATGATCTGAGGTCAAGTTAATTACTCTTTTCTTTCAGATACTGATGTTTATTAGATATAAATCATTTTAAAGCAATACCTACACATTAAGTTTAAGGTCATTCCAGACAAGGTTTAATGGTAAAGGGACGCGAGAACAGATATATATGCATTCTTTTTTGTTTGTTTGTTTTGATATCAGTTGGATACGAAAGATAACTTGACCAGATTACAAAAAAGGAATTGACAATGATATGTATATTTTGGACCTCAAAAGCTGCCATGAAGAATATCTATAACTACCGCATGTTATGTAAATCATAATTGGGACGAAGAACTTTGTGAAATTAATTTTCTAATATTCCGAATTTACATACATGTTTTTCTGGTATTCTATTTTGGATTGCGTTTGGCAGATATGATGAAGTTTTCTTATATTAGATTTTGAGAAACTGTAAACTTTGATGATTTCCTTGTCTTTTCGATATTCTTCCCAATCCACGCTTTTGTACAATAAACTAGCGATTTATCATTTTGTAACACTTCTCGTAGCTGCTATCTGACCATTTTCTTAAATTTGACATATTAAGATCTTCGATAAATGGTCATACACATTATCAGAATATTTCCAAATAAGTCTAAAATTATTAAAAACTCTTCCCTTCAAGATATTATTTTACCTCCTGATAAGCTATTCTCGGTGACAATTCTTTTCAAGAAAGACTGTGTAATCAATGTGGTCATTACATGTACCCTTAGTCGACAAACATACTCCTAAATTTGTAAGAAAATTTATGCTAAATCCAGCCATGCATCAACATCGCTTATATTAAAGATAATAAATCCCTTTATTTTCAGCTATGTATAGCGGTTCAGATTTTAAAAAATAAATTTTGCAGTTATCTGATAGAAGAATAACAGAGATGCTCAACTTTTACGTCCCTGAGTTCAAAACAAAAATAATTATAAACACTTTGTTCAATGAAAAACATTATGAAAAATACCAAATTTATCGCAAGCTACCGTCAGCCAAAAAATTTGAAAAAAATATCTAACACGTGCATCATTTTCATCCGAAACAAAGTTACCGGAAGTCAATACTTGTCGAGAAAAGAGATGTGGAACGTGTCAACATATCATAACAGGGAATTCCTTACAATTAAAAAGTGGAAAGAAGTGGGAAGTTAAAAGCAGTATGAACTGTAAATCAAAAAACGTGATTTACTTAATCCTTTGTCCAAAATGTGGAAGTTTCTATATAGGACAAACAGAAAACCTCCGCAAACGCGTAACATTACATCGCGAACAAATATCCCACGAAAGATATAGACATCTACCAATCAGCCGACACATAGCAGGATGCAACGACGGCTTTTTCCAAATCTTCCCCCTGTATACTTTTTCATCTGAAACCAATCGAATACAAAGAGAAGCCAAGGAGTCAGAAATTATAAACATTTTAAAGCCAGACTTGAATATTAATGTTTAACCGCATTGTAAAGTTTGCAAAATATAATTATGCCCCTTTTATATTATGACGTCATCAACAGATAACATGTTGTGACGCCACACCATTATGTACAGTTACTATGCACCTGAAGATCTAATACAGTGAAAGCGCTAGTGCAAAATGTAACGTCTTTCTTCTTTTGTCAAAAATCATTTTTATTTATAATTTACTCGCATCTCGTCAAATCAAGTTTTTTCTATATATATATATATATATATATATATCTTCTGTTGAAGAATTACTTAATGTTATCATATTTCCTTACATTCCTAACGAATGGGCGTAAATGTAAATATCAGGTAATCACAGTCAGGGGCAAAGGTCATTGTAAATGAATAAACTACAAAAGTTGTATCTGGTTGACTCTACCGCAACAGTTAATGTTTCGTGTCAAGCAAATTACTATGAATACCACTTCCTCTGCCTTAGGATTTGTGCTCTATCATCGTACAGTATCTTAAAGTAAAGAGTCATTAGGTCTTCAGTTCCTTTCTTGTACAATGTGTTTTTAGGAAAAAGCTTACTTCTGTTTGTTTTGCTTTTTTATTCTTTTCATTTTATGACACATACATTAGGTTATGTAATGAAACATAATACTTCCGTTGTGTCTGGAAGTTATGACTCAACAAAAATAGATGAAATGATCAATGTCTTCAAGAAATAAACCTTCCAACATCACTGAACTTTACAATGTTTCTGAATTTCTGAGGTAGGTAGATCATGTACGTTATTGTCAAGCCAACTAAACATTAATTCCAAGTGCAAAGTTGATCTTGTGTTTCACAAGATTGTATGAGATGTCTGATATAATGTATGATGCCCGTCAAC